CATCGACAAGTATCAACAGGTGCTATTTTATTATCTAGATGGAGTTTGCCTCTTAATAGCAGGTGAAGTAATAATATTAGTGAATTTGCAGATTGGATTCTTCCCAAGAGAGAAAGCATTTTCTCTTAGGTACCAAACTGCTGGTATGCTGGAAACTGTTCTAAGAGCAGGTGTGCTTGGAGAAGATGACACTGGTGAAGAATCTCCCAAGTAATTTCCTCTTGTACAGAGTTTTGCTCTCTTAGACTAGATTTTGCAATTTGAGGTTTCATGTCAATTGAATCTTCTCTTTTGTATGTGGATGTTTGCATGGTAAACACTCTCGCAAGCATCGTCTAAATCAAAACTCTTTAATTTGTTCACTTTGGGTACTTGGAATTTCTCTATATGATAACACTGGTTTCTGTTTTTTCATAAGAAATGACAGATTTATCTCTGAACGAGGCGATAAGAATCGCATGGCAGTGATATTCCAAACTTACTCACGAATTCCATTCTCAATTATATTGGCATAGAGTTTATAGTCTCAAAGGTCTTCTTCAGCTGCTAGTGCATGATGGGACTGGAAGATATTGATGGTCATATCTTTCATGTTTGCAGAAACTTGAAGATTCCTTCAAAATGGCCTTCTGTTGTCTGTGAAAATTGTCTATATTCTCTGGAGAACAAGAGCTTTCCACATAATGGATCCAAAGGGCATTCTTGAAATGCTTGTTATTTTTATTGAAGAACAAGGAAATGAGATGCCTGCTTTTTCAACTTGGAATTCAGAGGTCAGTGTATGCCGCCACCTTTTTGCTAAAAAAAATACCATTACATCTTGTGACAATTATAATGCTTATATCACTAAACATTTATGTTGTACGTTTAGTTCCTAGCAACAGTGGACGGCATTGAGAATGAAACTATCTCGAACAACATCGTTCGATACATCATTCCAGTGGGTTATCTCCCTTTTATCTAGATTTTTAACATGATAACTTACAGGACTTCCCAGATCGAATAGCTCCATGGCTTGGTCGATGGGAAGGTCATTCTATGACAAAACATAGTGGTGTATATGGAGCAACGATTGCAATAAAGGTCGTTTAATTCAGGTGCGCTTGTCTGAATGCCAACTATTGCATCCTACAAAATTGTAAATGTTGGATTCTATTTCCTGTCATATTAAGGTAGACATGTACTTACTCGATAAGAGGAAGCACAACATAGTGTTAAAAGCTCTAATTTTCTTTTCTGATGTTTCAGCAAGAGCAATCTTTGACACCATATCATAGTTACCTTTAGATTTTTACCAGTTATCATATCATCTCTGAGCCTTGCGCATGTTTCCTAAGAATGTTGTATATCCTTCAAAACTGACTCAACTTTGGTGAAATTTAATCCAGATTCAGACTGCAGAATATGTCAGCCTGTCTAATGATATTCTACTTTTCGTAAAATGAGTACATAATTTCTTGTTTGTTGCAAATTACAAACTTCCTCTGTATGTAAGATTCATATCAAGTGTTACTTTTGTGACAATTTGCACCATCAAATACAAAGACTATTGCTATTAGATAATGAAGATTAGTTCTCTTCGGTGGATACTAACTGATCTAGTTCCTCCAGGACACAACTTCGACAAACAATGAGAGTGGCACTGCAGGCACGATAAGCAACAACTTGGTGGTGCCCTTTGATGGAGGCTTCCAGCTGACCTTATTACCTGGAGGAATGTATATGGGATGCCCGTGTGACATTGGGAAGAATGTAGTCCAATCACAATCATTCCATCTCGAATTATGTTGGATGGAATCACCGGAGAAGCGGCAGAAGCTCGTGCCAACTTACGATGTGGAAGGCCTTGTAGTGTCATCTACTTATTTCTATGAGATCAAAGTCTTAAGGTCAACTTGCATGGACCATGCTGCAGCTTATCCTTGGTTACACTGGATAGATTCCAGTTAAACTAGAACACTCAAGGCCTTGTATCAACTGAATAGTTGAATAGAGAGAATAAATACTCTTCTTGAGTAATATTTATGATATTTTATTAGTATCAACTAAAAGGATTGGGTGAAGACGTAGCTTAGTTTTCTTACAATTTACAATTTGCAATGGAGCAACAAAATCCCTTTTAAATTACGTAGAAGATAATCAATTATTTTATAATTGATCATGAAAATTTTACACGAGATTGTTATGAATGATTGCTACAAGCCCATAATGTAACACTTTTATCACTCACTCTTGTGATAGCCTAAAAATATTGTTTTCCTTATATATTTTTTCTATAAATGCACTTTTCAAACTATTTTGTTAACCATCGTTAATTCTCAGTTAAAATGGGACAAAATAGCCCTTTAAGCCCATGCCATAATATGATTTTGGTGTCATTAGCTAGTAAAAAAAAAAAAAAGGGTCAATCATTTCAACACTCTATAATGTTGTGAGTGATAAGGCTTGCCAATTTATGAATAAATAGTATTCATCTAAGTCTTTTGAAAAATTGGGATATTGCTAATATTTAGAACTATAATTTTCTTTTTAAGACCATTTCCGTTGGTTTCAGTTGTTTGTTCTGTGTCTATCTCTCAAACAATGATGATGTTTTCTCTATCAATCATTCATCCTTTTGACTATTTTTTTCTTATTTTACAAGTCATTTTGAGATAGCTATTGTTTGGGTACGTAATAAGTTATAATTCTATTCATAACAAATGACAAATAGATTAACTCACTCCCGTGAACGCCACACCCACATGATTTAATTTATTTTCATGTTTTAAATTACAAAAAAAAATTGTTCATCAAATAAATCATATGTTTTGTACAAAGGCAAATGCATATGTAAAATCCCTTCAAACTTAATTTTCATTCCAATTTTGTTTTGGCACATATATATATATATATATTCATATATATGTATTCATATATATATATATATATATATTCATATATATATATATTCATATATATATATATGGTGTATTTAAATTTATAAGGTCTTAGAATATTGTAGGGTGTATTTAAGATTGAAGGGCAAACATGTCATTTACAACTATGAGAGTACCGATATGTCAACAAAGAAGCATTGATTACACGTTGTTGCCGAAAATTCCTTAATGCATGTGATTACCTATTACAACCGTACTTATCATATCCGTTTCCTCCGCCTTCATCACCGGCCCAAATTGGGTGCGTGTATTGACTCGCCTCGATTGAGATTTCTCGTGTATAAATTGCTGCGTAGTGTGGGGGAGAAACCACGATCAGGGTGGATTTGTGGAGATGGCGATGACTGTGATCAGTGTGGTTGTCGTCATGTCCTTTGCTCTCATGGCCATGGCAGTGATGGCACAGGGTCCATGGGACACTGCCGACGCCACTTTCTACGGCGACATGTCCGGCAAAGCGACCATGGGTGAGTTCAGCTGCCTCTCCCTCTTTCTACTACTGCTCCTTTGTCGTTGTCTTCCCCTCTCAGTCCAATGAGCAGGTCACAAGCGCTGCATGCACGCAGAGGAGATTTTGCTGCAGTTAAATCGTGTTCATGGGTAGAGAAAGAGAGAGAGAGAGAGAGATCTGACCATGTGTTTTGTACTGGTACAGGCGGAACTTGTGGGTATGACAATCTCTTCGAGCACGGATACGGGCTGTCGAACACGGCGCTGAGCACGGTGCTGTTCAACGATGGGGAAAAATGCGGTGCATGCTTCGAGTTGAAGTGCGCAGCGGGACCCGACAGGTGCAAGGAGGGGAGCACCATCGTGACGGCGACCAGCTTCTGCCCGCCGGCACCCGTCAGCCTGTGCAACCCGCCCCAGAAGCACTTCGACCTCTCCATGGCCATGTACATGAAGATCGCCAAGACAGCCTATTCGGGCAGCATCCCCGTGCAGTTCCGGCGAGTACCGTGCGTCAGGGAGGGCGACATCGGATTCGAGTTCAGGGGGAACCCCTTCTGGATCTCGGTGCTGGTGTACAACGTGGCCGGCTCCGGCGACGTGGCGAAGCTGTCGGTGAGGGGATCCAACACCACCTGGGTGCCGATGACGAGGTCGTGGGGACAGAGGTGGCAGCTCAGTTTCAGGCCAGAGATGGTGGGACAGAGCCTTTCGTTCAAGGTGACGACAGGCGACAACAAGACGGTGGAGTCGGTCGACGTCGCTCCAGCGAACTGGCAGTTCGGACAGCGGTATACAGGCGGCCAATTCTGATGAGGAATTGGAGCAGAAAGCAAGGGAAACTATTAGTACATACAATATAAGGAAGCCACCTAACCATGCACGGGCTTCTTCACTGGCTTTTGAAGTCATATCTATTCCTGCACGCAGTTTAATATTTGCATTACCTTGCTTCAGTTTCAGAGTTCCGATCATGCATATTGTAATGAAAGCCACGGCTTTTAGTTTCAAAGAATTCACGCGAATTCTCTTAAGTCACGCGAACTTCCCCTTCTGTCATCATGCACACGGAGTCCCGAATCGTCGATCCAAATGATTCACGGCGTTAGAGGAAACTGCCACAATGAGAACTGTCGTGAACCGAATGATTCACGGCGTTAGCGGAAACTGCCACAATGAGAACTGTCGTGAGAATAACAGGTTGTGTGTTCAGATCAGGTTAGATGCAGTCTCAGCATTGGATAGAATACATCTAACATAGTCCAAAAGAAATGGATAGAATAGTTCTGAGTAATAACAAAACTGGCCACGGATGCACAGGAAAATTGATTTCTCGATAGAGAATATCTTAATGGCTTAATCTATGCCTCGAGATTATTTTGGATACGGGAGGAATATGACCCACAAGAGTGCAACATTATAGCTTACTAAAGAATGAATGCTTGACTTTTGGTCAATTGATACAAATATAAACATCATTGTTCATCATAAGACGACAACCATCCTTTGCAAAACGTTAGGGCAACATAGTTGGACCAGATCTTATTAACAAAAAAAAAATCGATACAAGCATCGGACGGGACGGTCATTATTTAACTTAAGTCGGAAACCGTCATTATTTAACTTAAGTCGGAAACGTTACAGCACCATTTCTGTGGAAGAAAAGCAAAATCTTTTCAGACATCTGAAACTTCCATGTAGTCATAATCGCTAGCAGGATAGAAAGGGCCAAGGAAGATAACACTCTGATGATTGGGAAAATATTGAAGGACCAGCGCACAGCTAATAACGGAGCAAATATGTGTGGCGCCTGAACCAGTTGTAGTCTGGAAGGCCCTGGATTGGTCCCATGGCTGCAATTGCCACATCCTGCGAAGCCAAGGCGGCACCCAGTATAAGCTGACCCATTCTTTGTATGATAACGACGCACCAAGTGTCCACAAATACCAAAGGAAAATAGACCCGTCCTTTTTCATAACCTCATTTTGAAGTGTCATGAAAACATACAAGGCCAAACATGATTTAAGATATACTTGAGAGTTGAAACTCTCCAATCAGCCTTATAATGAATTTATATCTTAAATATGTGAGACAGGTGATTGCGTAACTTAACTTAAAGTGATGCCTCATGGTCACGCAAATTTGGACCCTTAGCTCCCTAAATTGCTTTTTTATATGAATCTCTGGCATGCTTATTGTGATTGTAATCATAAAGCATCTTTTAGTAAATGCTAAAAGTACGGCTTTACCTGATCAAATATGAAGCGATTAGCAACACGCTTAACGGTGCTTGCATCAACTGCATCTATCCTCGCAAAAAGTTCAGCAACTGGGATTCTACGGCCATATGTAAGTATCTGCAAACACAAAAAAAGTAAGAAGACATGAAGGAAAGAAATATAGAAACTTTGGAAGTAAAATGACTGAACAAAAATGCTGCCAGAGAAAGAACTAATCATTACCTGACGACCGATGTCCTCAGCAACAGGGCTGGTACCATCAATGTGAAGTTGAAGAGAAGATTTGAGCTGTAAAAGATCATCAAACAGATGCAGCTTATAACTTATTAAAACAATTCAACAAACAACATTCCTTGCATAAATCCCATTGGAGATATTCTTCAACAAAAATTTGGATGTTCCAGAATACATGATACTGTATTGCAACTTGACAATCAACCAAAACTTGTGAATAACTTATCGTGAAGAAACATCCATGTGATCTGATCAAACACATTCGAATTATACTGTCCATATGCTATTGTTTAGTGGTTTATCTACTCCACTTGAACAAAAGAACTTATTAATCTTCTTTGAGCCATTTAAAGAACCTTGTACCCATGTCTAATACTCAAAAGGCAAAGGTGTTTGGACCACAGGTCAAACCTTTTACATCTTAAGCAGCATATTTCTGTTAGTTCCTTCTCAACACTCTAAATCCTGGAAATTTCCCTCCTAACACTTGCATTTAGATACAATAGGGATGGTAGCAGATGCCTCCCTTAGTTAGCATTCATAAATGCCAATGACATGCAGGTGAGGCTGGCAACAAAGTTAACAAGCAGTGGCTTCAAAGTTGCCTTTATACTCGCAACTTGCTGCACGACTGATGCATTCCAAGAAAGATGTACTTCCTAGACAGAATAATGATCATGTCCCCATTTATTAAAGCAATTTGACCATCATATGCTTAATACATGATTTTTCAGTTACCTTAGACAATAACAATGAAATGTTCATGTCTCACAAAAGAGATATTGTTTATACTGTTTCATGGAATAATTTTGCCCACAAGAATTATATTAACTGCACTGATAAGCTGCAGCAAGCAATCTACATGCCACAAAAGATTCAATAATACAACTTCATCTGAGGCATGTACTGTCCCAAGTTTCCTCACTGAGAGTATCTAACTGATTTATCATATTTGATATTTTACAGAAGAGTATCCTGAGTTTCAACAGTGTCATTGTACATTAACTGAGAAAGCATATCTGAATCACTTAATTACCTGATTTCGTGCACGGGTCACATCAGCTTCTGAAACCCTGTAGGACAGCTTGCTTATCTCAGACATAATTGCATAGGCCAAATCATCCAAGCAATCCGGCTGATCATGAAAAGTGAAGAAAATGTCAGCTGTCAAGTGAGATTTATCTGCCACGCAGAAGGCATGTTCCCTGTATTATAAGCTAGTATACAACAGGATCCATATTCCATTTCATTGATGTAATCACCATTGAGCTAGCAATTAATACAAACATTATAATAGAGTCTAAGTATATACAAGCCAATAGCAGAGACTCATGAAAAAGGCAGGGAAAACGGAATGGCATTAAAATATCATGCAGTATCTGTGAAAGAAAACAGAACCAAGGGAATTATGATTTCCAAAGTTTCATTCTGAAAGAGTGCTGCACACCAAAGGACAATTTTATACATATGTGTGTGCATTTGTACACACCCAAAAATAAATGTGGATATCCTTTAAATATGCTATCAATTTGTTTATTGTGTAATGTATCACAACATATTTCATGACGTCATGTGCAATGCTAATTGATCACCTCACTTAGCAAATGAAGCAAAACACAGCAAAGCGGAGTTAAATATCCTCATTGATTAGGTACTATGACAGTATTTGCAGTAGCTCCTAATCCATCAAAACCATTCATAAGCATAATCGCTATGTACCTTTAGAAATGTCAATATTCACAAGTTCTCTTCTTCAGATGAAAAGAACTCAAAATGTCAATAAATTCATAACCAATAGCTCTGAAGCAGTAAGTTTCTGCAAATAATCCTGTGCTATAATTTTCCCGAATCACTGAGAACAATAAAATTTATGACACTCTAATAGATTGGATTGAGTCCAAACCAAACAATAACAGGTGCTAAAAGATGTCCTCTCTTGAAACCAATCATATTTACTCAATAATCATTAAAAATCTCAATATTTCACATATTTCAAGTACATAACAAAAAACTGACTAACCTTAGCAATTGCATAAACACCAAAGAGACCAGTGTCTTTGTAGTTTGTGTTAAAGGCCATCATGCTTTCGGCGATCTCATTGATGGCAATCCTCTGAGACAGCTCTGAACTGATTAAAGTTGAGGTACACAATCAATACAGGGCAAAACTTGGAAAGTTAAACAATTTCTGTGTAAATATAAGATGTAACAATGAACAACTCACCCCATGTGCTTTCCACTGCCAGTATTCTTGTTCCAAGAACCTAGCATAGACTGCATTACCATTAAAGCAATAGAATCTGGATCTATCCAGGATGCTCCACTAAATGCAACCGCAAATTGTGCAAGTGGAATGTCATCATCTATTATCCTAACCTGGATACAAAAAACTTTAATTGGCAAGAAGACTCTTGTGCAAAGATAACATGTCTAAGAGAGAGTAAATGGACAAACATTAAAAATTGGCATTCCCACCTCAGAACCAGTAAAAATAGCTGGTTCCTTTGCAACCAACTGGGATGCTGTCGTAGGATCATTTGACAGATTTGCGAACAGCTTTTTAACCTGGTCAACTATATCCTCGTGCTTAACAGCACCAGCAGCTGAGATGACCTAAACCATTATAAATATAAAACATTAGCCATTTGCTGCAATAATTAAAGTCACACCAATCAAGACTGGATAGATCATCAAACAAGGAGGCACCTAAGTTAGGTATGTACAGAAAACAAGAATGATGACTTAATCTGGCCTAATAAAAAACATACCATTCTAGGGGCAGTATAATGTGTTGATATGTAATTCTTAAGATGCTCTTTAGTAATTGTCTTGATGTTCTGAGCAGGTCCTAGTATAGTTCTGCCAAGTGGAGTGTACTGGAAAGCAGTTGCATGCAGATGATCAAAAATAACTTCTTCAGTTTGTCCCTCCACCTACATGAGACAGAAAGAAATGATATTAAAATATTGCATGAACAAAAGCTCTATCCAGTAAAAGTCAACTATAGTATACTAAAGTTCTCCTGATGTAAGTGCTTCACATGATGCCAAAAGCAAAAAAATCTAGGCAATCTATATTTCCATTAAATTACAATTTCATAACGCCATAAAAGAAATTCTAACCTATGCGGAACTTAAATTCCAGTAAACAGTTTCAAAACCTGGCTATGAGATAATTAAAAAAAAAACTGATCAAAGGGGTCCAAAGAAAGAAAAACAAAAAGAAAGAAACAAATTGCAGAAAATTCTGCAAAACATGAATATTTCCCCAGTTTTGAGACTGTGGCTAGTAACACATGCTAATTAAGTGTTACGGATCAAGTAAAATAAGTTATCTCACTGTTAACAAGGTGAAAGAAACACATAAATGGTTTATAGGTAGTATAATTTACACCATATATACCAAATTTACATGGGAATGGTGTCTCACAAAGAAAACTCAATGTTAATTTAATATTCCTCAGTAAAATCAAAGAGGGTTGCAAGGCAGAAGTAGCAAATCAACACAACAACTACAAAAAAAGGTCCGGAGCAACAAATGGTTACGCTCAGTCCACAGTCAGGAGATTTTAGCTATGAGCCAAATGAACCAGCATCCTGCTACATCAGTTTTAACAACGGAAGATTTCTAGCCTATGTGATGGTAACATAATTAGCAAACTTATGCACAAGTGGCATAAAAACCTAATTAAATTAAGAGCCATAAAAGGTGATATAAGATCAATAAGAATCAAAATGCTTCATTTCTTTGTCAACTTCTATTATTGACAATAATAGCTATCAGAGCCTCTCTCCACTTTTCTAAATCCATCTGTTGTACAAAACTTCACATGCCAGCCTGATAGGAATGATGATCCTGGTACCATGTGATTAGAAATACTTATAAGTACTGCTTTTTGATCGGCAGCCACCAGTCCAAGAGATTTTCAATTGTAAGTACTGTTTTTTTATAAGTTATCTAATGTCAAAGATAAGATTTTGTTGCCAACAAATTAACTCAAATTAGAACATGAGAAAAAAGAAATATAATAGAAATTATTGTTCTGCATCTGTTAACGAAATATAATCATATCTCCAACTTTAGAGAGATTTTAGCCACCATGAAAGACCAACCCATGCACTTGTCCTCCTTGCCTCCCCCGACTCCCAGTGCACTTCTATTTTCATTTTTCTCCAAGAGTTACAATACAAGAAAAAATCTAATGGCAGTACTTAAAACAATAAACTGATTAAGCTAGAGACAGTAAACAACCATAGTTAGCCTAAAATAAGAATTGTGAGTTATCGACGTTGGTTGGATATTGACGTTTTAATACGATCAAAAGGAGGTGAATATTAGAAACTAATACCTCTTCCATCTCCCTGAGGATTACATCCCTCTCCCTCTCAATGCGCTTCTCATCAAAACACGAGTTCTGAAGTATGTCTGCAAGGATTTCCAGCGCTTTGGGCACATCCTTATCCAACACCTTGGCGTAGTAGGTGGTCTGCTCCCTCGATGTGTACGCATTCAGATGCCCGCCCATGTTCTCAATCTCCTCCTCCAGCTGTCGCACTGTCCGCGATTCGGTGCCCTTGAAGATCATGTGCTCCAAGAAGTGCGCGGTCCCGTTGGTCTCATCGGTCTCGAAGCGGCTCCCGGCGTCGATCCACACGCCGACCGTGGCGGTGCGGGAGGCAAGAGTAGACTCGGTGGAGATGCGCAGCCCGTTGGGGAGGGTGGTGACGCGGGTCTCCGGTGCGGCCAGGATGGGGGTATGGTCGGCAAGGGTGGGGTGGGGGGAGGCGTAGCGGAGGAAGCGGGGGTCGGGATCATCGAGGCGCTTGATCTTGGATCGGACGGCCTCGGCGAGGCGATCGTAGTGCATCACGGGGGGTTTGGCCAGGGAGGGAGCATCGGCGGCGGGGTTTGCGAGGGCGGAAACTGCAGCGGTGGAGGCAAATCGGCCGGAGACGAGGAGGGGGCGGCGAGAGAGGGTGAGAAGCTTGCGCAGCGCCATTGCTAGGGATTGGATTTGGCGGAAGGGAGAAGGGGAGTGTGGAGAGGGAGGCGGGTCGAATCGTCAAACTACGTGAGGGAGGAAGAGGAATTAGGTCTGCACACATGACTCTGCAGGAACCCACGTTTACACCAGGCAGTGAAGGTGGACCCCGCTATTATGAAAGTTTTGACGTGACGGGGTGCACGAACTTGCCAGTGAGCGTACGAAATTAGAGAGGTAGTGGAACACCTACCCAACTGTACCATTCCGGAGGCTTGTCAAGGGTGATGTGGTTAGTCTTAACACTCGATACAGGAGGGACCCACCTGCCCTGACTGACATCGAGCGTTGTCTAAAACCTGAAGGGGTTACATGTAACCCTTCTTGCGCACATGTTGACTTCCGTTTCTCGCCTACCCTTTCTCCTCTCCGCTACCGCCCTCTTCTCCGTCGGCTCTCCGTCCAGATGCCTTCGCACCACCACCGAGAAACTAATCGATGCTGCTGCTGCTGTTCAATCCACTCTTCACCACCACCCCATCTGACCACATCTGATCAACTCCTCCAAGCCCTGGCCAGCCACCTGCTCCTCCAATCCCAGAATCCTCCCACTCTTTCCGACGGTCACTGCCTTAAGCCCCAGCAACACCCACCACCACTGCATTCCTTCTTCCAAATTCATCAACTTGGTGATGATCATCTTCCTCCTGCTCCTCCTCATTATCATCGTCATGAACAGCAGCAGCAGCAGCAGCAGTTCTATCAGCATCAAGCTCAACCTCTTATCGAATCCCTCCTCCGCCGCATCGCCGCCCTCGAATCCTCTTTCCCCCATCTCTCCTCGCCCATTTCGTCTCCTTCTCCTCTTCCTTGTCATGGACGACAGCGACAAGAAAGACCTTTGACCCCATCACCGCCGTCTTCTTTTGCTTTGTCGCTTCGAGATTTGGCGGCGCGGAGAATCCAAGCCTCGTTCCGCCGTTTTCTTCTACGGAGATCCCAGACACTCCGCCACCTGAAGGACCTCGCCGCCATGAAATCATCAGTCGCCGCCTGTAGATCCGCGCTCTCCGACGAGACCCACGTCGATCCCAGATACCTCACCGAGAAAGCCATGGATCTTCTCCTTCGACTGGATGCCATCCAGGTGAGTTTGAGGAAAGCTAACTCCTCTCCTGGATTTCTCTTTGCTTGTTGCTTCGTTAATGGCATTTTTCGTGGGTTTTCTTGGCTTGCAGAGCGGCGACCCGATGGTTCGGGAAGGGAAGCGGTCGATCAGCAGAGAACTAGTCCGCATGTTGGATTTCATCGATAAGGTGGTAGTCAAAGGGCACCAGCTGTCTCTGGACGCGATCGAGATCACTGGGAATTGCGGAATCGAAAGAGATTCTGTGGAGGACATGAGAAGAGAAATTGTAGGAACCGAGGAAGTTCCGAAGCTTGCCAAAAAAGTGAGCTTTTTGGAAGACGGGAAGAGACCAAGGTTCTCTCTTAGCGGCCTCCACCAGCTTGAGGAGGAACTCATCGATGCTGGCAATCAAACTGCTCCACCGGAGAGCTTGGGCGGGGAAATTACGAGCACCGAATCAAGCGATCATCTGGGACCAGAAAGGTTTCATGAGATCAGCAATGGTGACTGGAGCTCGGAAAGTTCCATAGAGAATGGTGGCAAATATGTGAAGGGGAAGCATTTCCAGAATCAGAATGGAAAGTTAGGCCTCTCTGCTCCCTTGCCTCTGCAAATGGAGCTGCGGAAAACTTAATTCCATCTTTGGTAATGAATGCATCAATCTTGAAGTCAAGAGATTAGAACTGTTTGCTTCATCCATCTTTGGTCCTTTGCCTACTGGAAGTTGGGGTTTGGAGAAGAGCTGCTTCTGCTTGGTATGTTTGTTCCTTCTTGTGCTATGGTATTGTCTTCTAAGAATTGTTAGAAGTGTGAAGATTAGCATGCTTCTAATTATCTGATATCTTTGTTCCTTATTTGCTTCTATACTCAGATCCATAATGGCTACTGTTTGGTTAGTGTGACAATGCTTCTGTTTAGTTAGGTCCATTTATACTTGATTGCTTCTTGTGATATTTCAAGATATCATTGGTGATGTCGCATTAGAATGATTAAACATTAGATAACCAAATTATTGGGAATTAAGTCAACATAGACACTGGATATCTGATGATTTAAAGAATCTGAATTTTTATAACTCAGGACTGACTAGAGTTCAAATTTTGATTGACATCTTCAAGTACAAAACTGCAATAATTATCAATGTTCCGTGTCGAACAAATGAAGGAAAAGAAGTTCTAGCAAGAACTTGGGAAAGCATCAGTCAGTGAGTGAAGATTCAAAATACTAGATAGAGCTGTGAAATTGTTGGAAATGACACTGTGCCATCTTTAGTGTCTGGAATCAAATGAAACTACCAATTTCTTTTGTTCTGAAATGTTTTGCAGCTATGAGAAGCAAAGTAATGCTGTGAAAGATTTAAATGCCACATGAATCATATCAGAGCATTAAAGTGAAACAAGTCCATCTTCAGTAATGTGAGAAAGACCAAGCACACTATGGTAAGAACAAGAGCATCTCCAGTTCTGACAGATAAATAAATACATGTGATCCCAATAGTTTCCAAACTTGTTGGTAATAGGAGGGAAAAATTATTGTCCAACACTACTGTTTGAGCTACATGTTCCAAATCTGATACTGTAATATGCACTTATGAAGTGCCCAAAGGTATCTGAGGAAAAAATTTGCTACCATTTCTCACACCTGCCCAAGTTTGAATATTAGGCTCAAGTGTGCAGGCCAAAACCCTACTGAAGCAGCATTTCCAAAAGCTTCTCTTCACATTATCTGAACAGGAAATCATTTGTAGATTTCTCTATTACTTGCTAACTTTTGTAGATTTCTTAGTATTCTAATCAGAAAGGAATAACTTTGAGAAATATTGTAAAACATTAGTAATTCAGTAATGTATGGAAACACCCCTTTTTATGCTGAGTCCCACATTTTGCATTGGTTAATGTCATCTTGCATTACCACATGGTATGCTAAGTTGGAACTAAGTCTTTCCTTCATTTTAACCATCAGGATCTTTTATTTTAGATGTAGCACATCAAGATCAAACCAGCCCAGCATATATGAGACTACCTTGAGGCCAAGTCATTTATCTCCCATCTCCCTTTTGTTACAGGTTTCTACATGGTGGGAAACAATTACAGGCAAAAATGGTAAAAGAAATTTGCCTATAGGTTTCTGATTGTGTTGGAGAAGAAATGGAACAAATGATGACATGGTGAGAAGGCAAGACAATAAAAACAGTCTTAAGCAAAAGAAAAATTAGGTGCACATTTGAATATACTGTGAATTAAGACAAATATAAAGCAAGAAAAACATGGCCTCTTATTTTAGAGGACAAATAAAGAACCAGAAGAAAATGAGAATTAAAAGGTAAATTGACCAATAAACTCAAAATAAGAAGAAAAGCTAATCTGCATGCTTCAATAGGGAATACGATACTGCCTTCAGTATGTATAAGTCGAGGCATCATACTTTGTTTGAGCAATTGTATGTATGTATGTTTTAAATTAAAATATATAAAGATATAAAATACTTAAAATATATATTTTTATATTCTTATAATTATAATGAGTTTTCAAAGGTTATCAACATCATTTAGAGTTTTACCTAAGATTCAATTGATTGTTAATTGATGGAAATTAACCACAATGATAAATACACAATATCTTAGATTTTGTAAGAATATATATTAAACTCAAATTTAGAGAAAAATATAATATTTTGGAGGGATAATACGCATACACAAATAAATAAATAAATATAATTGGGCTTTGGCGGATGGGCCGGCCCATGAATACTTGATGTCTTCTTCTCCCTCTCCCTTCTCTCTCTCTTCCCACGGGTTCTACTGCGAGGGGTTGAGGTCATTGCTAATCCCTCGGACGCGTGGTAACTGTAGAGGGAAACGGAAGCAAGCGATATTGATGGAAGGGATAGCCTCGATCGCTCTGCTGCCCTGCGGTTCCATCTCCGGCCATTTCATCCGCTTGCCCGATTCCGTCTGCTACGGCCTCCATGGAATCGGTTGGTGAAATCGTATCCCCGTTCCGCTGCGTAAACCCCACGCTCTCATTTCTTCCTGCTGCATTTAACATCATTTTTCCTCCGCTGCCAAGTTCTTGTTTCGAAGTATTATGTTTTGGGGCTGATTACTTAGAAATGCGTTCTTTTGAAGAACATTAAAGGCGAAGAAAAAGAAAGAAACATAAAGATTACATTTTTTTGGGAGTGAATTCATAACATGAAATCATAATAAGGTGAACCCAACGCCACTCTCATCGCAAATAAAAGGTCATACCTTTCCATTTCATCCAAAGAAACAGCGCCTCGTGAAAATTCGGCACTTACGAGCAATTTGAATATCGTTCTATTTCCAAGTTTGAGTTTTGACCACATTGATTTTGGGTTTATGATTAGTATGAGGTTGATGAAGTGAAAAATGAGCACATGAAACCTTTATATTCGGGTGAATTCCCAAAAAAAGCCCCTAAGGTTGGGAACTTCTTGCAGAGTAACCCAACTTTAAAAATTTCCCAGATAGCAACCCTGGCCATGTAATTTAGTATGCAAACCTTTTTTCCAGAATTCGCCCTACATATGCTGCTTAAGTTATGCTCAACCAATTGTCATTTAGTATGTGAAATGTCTCTTGTATGAGAACTAGTCAGCTTAATAATAATGATCTGAAATTTAATTTGTGTTATTTCTGCTGTTTAGAATTGTCATGCGAGAGAGAGTGCAGCAGAGGTGAAGATTATCGCTTGATTAAGCTCTCAATAATTGACTATGCTGTGAGATCAGATGCTTCTCTTTCCATACCTTGCGACTGTAGATATTCTTTATTGCATGGAATTTCTCTAATGTTCTTTCCTCATGGTACACACAACAGAGCAGGAAAGAAAAAGTGATTGTAGTGGAATGCAGGGGACATGATTGTGCTCGCTTCCAAAATGTTGATCATGCCCATGGGTAAGTGGTTGTGGTAGAGTTCTGACTTGTTTTTTATGTATACATGCATAAATATACTTTTTAACAGCTTAATCTCTTATTTTGCAGTAGTTTAAGAACTGAACTGGTTTATTCCATATTCTAAACTTATAGAGATGTTTGTCTTCTGCTACACCAGTCTATGTACATTGTGTACCTCCTACCTCCTTAACGAGGTTAGAGGTGTGTATGGTGTGGCCTTCCTATCTTCTGTCTTCTTTTAACTAAACTTAATTAGAGACCCATTTAGTTTTATTGATTGTGTTTTGCCTATGGAAGAGTTTTTTAGATGTCCATTGATTGCCTAATTCTGCCATGAGTATGCTTTGGCACCATCATTAGGGGGTTGGCATCCAAATGTCTTGCTGAATCTTCTCTGATGCCTTCTTGGTTTTTAGTTATACTTTTCTAACTGACCATATGTTGATGGTAAAGGACTTGGATGGACAATCGGAATTTTATATCATGTGAATAGAACTTCCTCACTTGTTATTCCACTGTTTTATCCTCTTTCGAAGAAGACAAATAAGCAAGATGGAGTATATGTATTAGCAAAAGTGATCTGTGAAATATTTTATCCTCCATGGCAAGCAGATAGGTTCTTTAAATTTCGAGAATTCTTTCATTACAATACATGATAGAAAAACTATGTAATTAAAAGGGCACTTCTTGTTGTGCTTTTCTGACTGAATGGAATATCCTCTGGTGCCACATATACCATATAATGAAGCTTTTTTGTTTCAAATCCTTATGAGCAGCCTTAGTGACCAATTTTTGTGCAGCCAACATGAATCCCTTTTTCACAATGTTGAAATGCTATTTCTTTGATATTTTTTCCTATTAATTGGGATGCTATATATAAAAATTAGTAAAAACAGAAAGATGTCTTTGTGATACATATTCTTGAAATTTTATAATAATGAGTTCATGATACATCACTGCTGCAGGTGGGAAAATGATGTTGTTGATATGATAGAGCAGAAGCATGGTAAACAAAAGATATCAGTGTCTTTCGAGTGTGAAACACTTAAGGCAGACAATGCTGCTGAAGAGCACCTCAAGAGCTACATGCCCAATTTAGTTGGACTTGGTGCTGTTGGTAGGTAATATGACTTGAATACTTGCTAGAATAATATTAAAACTTGAACTTGCAACAACACTAAATGTAATTTTTTTTTTTCCAGAAAATAAATTGTAAAGTTGTTGAACCGAAATGGTATTGCAGGGAAAGTTAACTGCTAGAAACTGAATTCACCTAATTGCTAAAGTTCATATCTACTTTCTTTCCACAACTTTTTGCCCATTTTCCAGTTATATGCATGGGAGTCCAGTCCAAGTCTCTACCATTTTGGTAGCACCCACTTTTCCTTTCTACCAAAAATTAGTAGGAACTACAAGATGCTCTACTAGTTTATTTTTCCATCCTTTTTTTATCACCAAAAATTATTATTTTTTAATTCCAATTTTGAATTGGAGTACAGGAATATGTTATTGTATTTCTAAGTTTACTCATTTTCATCAGTTATGCACAGTCTTCACAATCTGAAGAGTCAAGTCACTGTCACCTTCCTTTCTAACAAGATGTGCAATTAAGTGATGAAGATGATTTTGTAGTAGATATATGTACTTCTATTACCTACCTTCTTCTTACAATGCGGTGATCAAATTGCAGTTAACGTTGGTCGGATGAGCATTTCTGGCCTTGATTTCAAAGGGGATAAAGAATCCAGTGAGTGTGATGATGAATGATAGGCATGTTATACAGATGCATGCAACCTGGTGGATGTGACAAGAGCATGTTGAACTTTAAGGAGCTGGTACTGTTGGTGTTGCTGATATTTCTCGTCGAAACATCAAATCTAACATTTTATTTTGTTGTTCAACCCTCAAATTTTGCTTCGTTTTCTTGCCATTATGTGTTGCAGCAGATGTTCACAGATTGGATCTAATTGCAGATTTCTTAGTTTTAGATTTGAGCATCAGATTCCTTCAAATCATAAAGTTACTAATGTGACATACTTTAGTAAGTTTGCCTTCAAGTTATGAAGCTTGCTAATTGGCAATCTCATGTTATTGGTAATTACCTAAAAACTATATAATATAATTTTATCAAATATAATTTCTTAATTATCAATCACATCTTTATATTTTATGATCTCTTATTTCGTGCATTGATGTTCAAACTTTAGTTGTATCGTCTCGTGATGTTACAAAGAGGAAAATATCGTTCGACATCGAAATATTTTTAAGATATTAAAAAAAATTAAAATAAGATTATAAGTAGTAAAAATAATAATAAAAGATTATTGGTCCAAGTTTGGGGATATATATGTCATAGAAAGAATAAGAAATATGTGATGGCCCTAAATTTTTGAACGAAGGTTATCTTTAGATCTTGACCGTCCATTGGATGATTTTGATCATGATGCTTTCGTGTGGAGATCGCTATGCGTCGATCGTAAAGGATAAGAAGATGATAAAGGCTGTTTTAAGTTTTTGAGGGCGCGCCTTGGCCGCGAACGCTCCCAAGATGACCACGACCATGGCGGAAACCCTAATTCCCAACTGCACTCGGGGAATTCCATCAAATTTCTCGAGATTGAGACCCATTTCTGCTACAAGGCGACAACTTCCGTCTTTCATTTGTTACAGTCTCGAATTCTGCGACCTAAAGGGAAGATTTGACTACCCGATTGGATCATTTCGAGCCCGGAAATGGGTGACGCGTGCGGCGGCGACGTCTTCTTCCATGGTCGAGGACGCGAAAGAGGATGACGAGCCCATGAGCATCGGTAACTTGCGTCGTTTCATCGATCTCAACGTTGGGAAGTGGAACGGATCCTTCTACGTGAGTAGAATGATTGCTTTGCCCTCCTACTTCTTGAACGTTTCGGTTGTTGGTTGATGCGTTTCGGAGCTCCTCGCATGCAGCAATTCGATGGTGATGGAAACCTACTGCAAACTGTGAGTACGAAGCTCTCAGCGAGTTCCTATGGGGAGGATGAACTGATCAGTCTCATTCAAACGTGAGCTCCCTTGCCTTTAAAGTTAACTTCTTTTTTATGAATTTGTTGGTCTTGGACCTAAAGAATATAAATTTCTTTGGAAATGTTTATTTCTTTGTAAGAATTGTTTGTCTTGTGAATGAATGATTTTATTGGCAAAGTTGTTACCTCTTGATTGATACTGAGAGTTATTGTATGCTCCTCTTGTTGAGAATGCTCTTAATGTTCATGGGAGGAGTTCATGATCTTGCATTTCACTTTTATTGATTATTGTAAGGTCTGTTCAGAAAGACATACTAAGTTGATTGTGCAGCCTCAGATAATTTTGAGAGTCAGGCTCCTTAAATCTTAAACAAGTTGAATATTTCTTGGGCATATGATTTCTAGGAGCCTCTAAGTATATGCAATATTGTCAATTAGCTTTTTAAGTGAATCACAAAATATACTCGTGATAAATAGAAATGCGTACAAGAAGTATTAAGGAAAATGTGGTTGTTCTCTGAGCTAGAGATTGGGAGCTGACCAGGGCCTCTTTTTTTCAAGTAACAACCTCCGCCACCAAGGTTCTCAAGAAAATAATGATCTGCTAAGGTTAGGAGAAGAGGGGCTGGGACTGATCCTAGCTGGCACCTCTCCAATGCTTAAGTCAAGATGGGATTCAAGTAAATGTTTAGCTGTTAAGGTAAGGAGTTGCTTTGCTTTGTTGAAATCAATTCATTTATATATGGTTTTTACTGACTATGTGTCAAGGCTTAGGATGTGACCCTTGTCCGGATGAAAGCCATGATAGGAAGATCCTATTGTGGTTTTTGTCAGGTGTGGGTTGCCAAGTATCACACAGAGGGTAGATCCAAAAAGGGACCCATCATGTGCCCTAATCAAGAAGTGTATCAGTTCTTTTACTGGTTTTATTGAAAATAATCCTAATATTCCAGCACTGTTGATCAATCTCTTTTGAGATCCTAAGTCTGTTGGTTTACCAATCAGTACTTTCTGCCCTTTTTTTTTCCTTTTAGCAACTTGAACCAAAGCACTTGATATCTTTACTTTTTGGTGCACATCTGAAGCCAATATGTATGCATTGTTTTGGTGTATCTTAATTTTCCACTGAGATTTTTTTAGTCAAGATAAATTTTCATGTGCATGTGATGATATTAGTTTAGTGGCACTAAGTTGCACTGTATTCTGTTTCCAGGCTGTACATAAAGCAGCCTTCTTCCAGCACATCAATTGCAGGATATGATGATGAACCTGAATGGGCGGAGTATAAGATCAAAGAGACAAATATGTTTACCGTCGACAAGTATCAACAGGTGCTATTTTATTATTTAGATGGAGTTTGCCTCTTAATAGCAGGTGAAGTAATAATATTAGTGAATTTGCAGATTGGATTCTTCCCAAGAGAGAAAGCATTTTCTCTTAGGTACCAAACTGCTGGTATGCTGGAAACTGTTCTAAGAGCAGGTGTGCTTGGAGAAGATGACACTGGTGAAGAATCTCCCAAGTAATTTCCTCTTGTACAGAAGTTTTGTTCTCTTAGACTAGATTTTGCAATTTGAGGTTTCATGTCAATTGAATCTTCTCTTTTGTATGTGGATGTTTGCATGGTAAACACTCTAGCAAGCATCGTCTAAATCAAAACTCTTTAATTTGTTAACTTTGGGTACTTGAATTTCTCTATATGATAACACTGGTTTCTTTTTTTCATAAGAAATGACAGATTTATCTCTGAACAAGGCGATAAGAATCGCATGGCAGTGATATTCTAAACTAACTCACGAACTCCATTCTCAATTATATTGGCATAGAGTTTATAGTCTCAAAGGTCTTCTTCAGCCGCTAGTGCATGATGGGACTGGAAGATCTTGATGGTCATATCTTTCATGTTTGCAGAAACTTGAAGATTCCTTCAAAATGGCCTTCTGTTGTCTGTGAAAATTGTCTATATTCTCTGGAGAAATATATGCGAACAAGAGCTTTCCACATAATGGATCCAAAGGGCATTCTTGAAATGCTTGTTATTTTTATTGAAGAACAAGGAAATGAGATGCCTGCTTTTTCAACTTGGAATTCGGAGATCAGTGTATGCCACCACCTTTTTGCTAAAAAAATTACCATTACATCTTGTGACAATTATATTGCTTATATCGCTAAACATTTATGTTGTATGTTTAGTTCGTAGCAACAGTGGACGGCATTGAGAATGAAACTATCTTGAACAACATTGTTTGATACATCATTCCAGTGGGTTATCTCCCTTTTATCTAGATTTTTAACATGATAACTTACAGGACTTCCCAGATCGAATAGCTCCATGGCTTGGTCGATGGAAAGGTCATTCTATGACAAAACGCAGTGGTGTATATGGAGCAACGATTGCAAAGGCAGATACGGTAGTGTTGCTTGAAATGGATGATAAAGGTCGTTTAATTCAGGTGCGCTAGTCTGAATGTCAACTATTGCATCCTACAAAATTGTAAATGTTGGAAGCTATTTCCTGTCATATTAAGGTAGACATGTACTTACTCGATAAGAGGAAGCACAACATAGTGTTGAGCTCTAATTTTCTTTTCTGATGTTTCAGCAAGAGCATTCTTTAACACCATATCATAGTTACCTTTAGATTTTACCAGTTATCATATCATCTATGAGCCTTGCTCATGTTTCCTAAGAATGTTGTATATCCCTCAAAACTGACTCAACTTTAGTGAAATTTAATCAAGATTCAGACTGCGGAATATGTCAGCCTGTCTAATGATATTCTACTTTTTGTAAAATGAGTACATAATTTCTTGTTTGTTGCAAATTACAAACTTCCTCTGTATGTAAGATGCATATCAAGTGTTACATTTGTGACAATTTGCGCCATCAAATACAAAGATGGGATGTGTTTTGAATGTGCTATTGTTATTAGATAATGAAGATAGTTCACTTCGGTGGATACTAACTGATCTAGTTCCTCCAGGACATAACTTCGACAAACAATGAGAGTAACACTACCACAAACGTGCGTTGGACAGGCACGATGAGCAACAACTTGGTGACCTTTGATGGAGGCTTCCAGCTGACCTTATTACCTGGAGGAATGTATATGGGATGCCCATGTGACATTGGGAAGAATGTAGCCCAATCACAATCATTCCATCTCGAATTCTGTTGGATGGAATCACCGGAGAAGCGGCAGAAGCTCGTGCGCACTTTCGATATGGAAGGCCTTGTAGTGTCATCTACTTATTTCTACGAGATCAAAGTCTAAGGTCAACTTGCATGGACCATGCTGCAGCTTATCCTTGGTTACACTAGATAGATTCCAGTTAAAATAGAACACTTGGGCTTCATTCAAGTCCTTGTATCTATCTCGCTCTTCAGCAAAACGTCCCAGTATAGCTTGTAACTGATATTTGATGATCTATTGCAATTTTGCCTTTTACTCTCTCTAATGTGTATCCTAAACCATACGTTTTTACATTTGTAAGTGGATGAGGGGGTTTGTAAGAATATTTGACAGAATCTACAAAAGGTGTTTGGTTGTTTTCATCTCTCAGTGTTATGTCCCAAGATTTCTATTGTTAGATATTTATGCAAAGAATATGACTACCAAGAGTGTTTGCAAGACTTATTCTATTCACCCAAAAAATATATTAACCTACCAAATTGTTAGTATGCAGCTTTGTATTGTGATGGCAATCTAGAGGAATTCATCATGACCTATTCAAGCTGATCTAATGAGTCACATACTGAGCCAAACACTTTATTCCTATGTATTAAGTCTGAACCCAGTGGAATTCTCAAACGATTGTCGCAAAATATCAAAATTTCTACCTGAATTAACAATCTTTAAAAAAAGGGTGGGGGAAATGTATGTGTGTATATATAAATAAATTTACTGAACTTAGTTTTAGAGATTAAAAAAAAAAAACTAACCAGCAAATGATGTGTATACACACCTTTTCTTCATAATATTCAGAAGGCAAGTTTATGTAAAGAAGCATTTGGATTCCCAAAATGAGAGATCAATTAGCTTGGACAAGAGATAGCTTTGATTGTTTATGTCCTACCATTAAATAATCAAAATCATCTCTGAAACCATTGGACTTGAGGTGTGATCAACTTCAAAGAAAGTTGGCTGCAGTTTTTGCTGAGCATAACTTGATCTCTTTGCCATTAGTCATCCAATCTGTACATGCTACTCTGAGTTCAATAAGCAATCTCCAATTTGTTTCCACATTAACTGCAACCTAATCAAGTCTTTGTAGGTTGACTCTCAACAAGTTGCTCCCTTTCTGTCCAATTAAATCAAAAGATTAATATTCTTCAATCAAAAAGAATCATACTGAGCTTGTTGCATACAAATCCATATTAATTTTGTCCTTTGCCTTTTGAATGGTCTTCAGCATACCACTTCAGATTCTGTGAACTATTACTTGTCTCGAGTGTGCTCTGTTTAATTCAATGGAATTTTATTTCTTAGAATCAGCTTCTTGTTTGCTTATATCACTCCTAGAACATGTTTCTTTCAAGTCACTATAATCCCAAGGATTTGTGTGGACTTTGATGGTCTTTTGCATGGATTTCTTGTGAATATATATGTTGCAATTTACATGTTGAGGTTTTATGTTTTGCCTTCTTTAGAAAGAGAAAAAATAGCTTTAAACAACAGTTACTCTGCCAACTGGACAACTACAATAAAATCTATTAGACTTTTGATTGCAAGAGCTATAAATATATCTTTTGATCCTCACAGTTCAGCTAAAATTTCTTCTTTAAATGCAGGAGCTATTACAAGTTCCCTAACATGGGATGCAATGCTAGGAAGCATGTTAAAAGTTGTTCAGCAGCCTCTGAAGTTGAAGCTCTCCAAAACAATTCTTTGTAATCAGGCTTCACTGAAAAGATGAGAGTGAAGACACAATATTGAGTGGCCAGTGGACTTTCAGCTGAAAAAGGCACATTGATGATGCCTAGTGTTCTACATTTTCCACTGCAGTGATTGACATCAAAGAATGCATTTATTCTTCATCCACCATGTTTGGAATTTGAATTTATTGTCCAAGTGGCAGCAGGGTTGGAAGTCATTAAATCTTTTGTCCATGTTATTGCATCCAAAAGTTTTAGCCAATAGATGAAGACATTATCTATGATTTATATTCTTAACAAGAAGATGATAATACTATCTATATCAGGGATTTTTGCAGCCTGTAACTAAAAGTCCATTATAATGTTTCCCCAAAACTTCTGTAGCTACTACACCTTCAAGTATTCTTCTGCTTCATTTTCTCTTTACATTCTTTATGGTCTGATAGTTACAAGACTCTGCATTCTGTACAGAAAAACAATGGCATCTGAATGATGAAATCTGTGGATTGTTTTTATCATTATAATTCAGAAGTAGATGATTGGAATCTCCTCTATGATATATCCTTGAATTTTTACAGTTCCAATACCTGATAAAAAAAATGCATGATCCTTTTATTTCAAGAGAACTCATGCATAAAATAAAACTACTAGATATGAATGACACCATGCCATGAGACAGGTAAAGGTGGAATGCCAATGAAAGATCTCAACAAAATTAAATTTCACAACTGCTCCTTGAATTCATCATTCATGAAGTGTATGATCTTTTTTCTTTTTTGTTTTCTGTAGCATTTTGTTATCATGATGCAGATACTCCTCAGCTCTACTGACCTGTTTCTGTAAAGAGAACAATTAGGATGTCAACACTGGTTGTTGAAGATCTCACTTCTAAGTGCTAATTGTAAATTTAGGACAAAAAGCTGAAACATGCACATTTCCTGGCTTTTTCCTTGAATGAATTTTCTCATGGGGCCAGGGATGTGGATTTCATGCAGCAGCACTACACTGATCTCTGGCAACAAGCTGATGGAGGAAAGTAAGTCAAGGCTGCTTTTGATGCTTTTTAGGCACTCTAAGTGGCTCATTTGCTGTTCTCATGATGCCTCTAAAGCTGTTGCCCTTGTTTATTACATGCCATGACCATCCAATTCTTTTATGGCCTTCTTGGTGATGAAAGGAGTGTGATGAGCTTGGAAAAGGAAGCAATAAGAAGGTGGTATCCTTTGATGCTTTGTGAAGCAAGCTTTGGTTAGAATGGAGCAAGACAATTTTGCTGAATCAATCATATGCAAATACTGTGATGATGAGAGAAGTATCACAAAGAAGGAAGGTTGAAGTGCATGCTGATGCTTACAACTCTTCAGAATTCACTCTATTTACTATTCTCAGCTTCTTCAGATCCCTAACCTAAAAAATGTTTGTAATCATCATTGTTTTGTTAGATAAAAAAATATTTAATAATATTTTAGAGTAATACTAGCTTGAGTACCCAAAAAGAAGATCGATAATAAAAAAAATTATAAAATATCTTTTTTTTTTCATAAGATCGATAATAGAAGCGAGATTGTGTTGAGCGTCAAGTATAGTAAAAATTGAAAGCATCTCGACAATAATTATAGCATCGCATCTTAGTTTAATAATTTATTTTTTTCATATATTATTTACTAGAATAAATAATTTTGATTGACTTGTCTTATCTAAGTTTATATAATTGGATCGTAATAAAAACCTTGACATCTAATGATCATCCATCAATTATCACACCAATTATATTAAAACAGTTATAATCTAAAATTGTAACCTCACTTGCTAATACATGATTAAGAAAGGTTTAACATATTAATCTTCCAACAGTGGAGCCATGGAACCAAGATGTTAAGACTTGGTTGAGGCATATCCCATACCTTGTGGAAGATAAAAGCCAACCAACTTGTATAACTAAGCAACAAACAAACAGACAAACAAGAAAATATTTGCTAATAAAGAAGAAAAATTACAAATTATTGTGTTGCATATCCACAAAAAAAAAAAAAAAAAAAACCATTGTGGGTCAGTCAATGATGTGAAGTATTATCTTAAGCAAAAGGCAGCCATGATTGCCATCCAAAACCTAAATAGAACCCCACTAAATCATATCAATATTTCCCACCAGTCACAGTGCTCTCAGCCTCCAAACCCACCCACAAACCTTATTGTGGCAGGTGTGTTCTTGCCACTGCTTGCTCTTGTTGGTCCCACTCCACCAAGAGTCCCTATTTAATTGGTCCCATGTCTCACTTCACTGTGACCAATCCAACCTCCACTTCATCATCTCTCTTCTCCTTCAAGGAAGCCATCTCCTCTGCAACTGAAACTCGAAGCAACCTCACCAAAGCTGTCTCCTTTATCCCATATTAGAGGAGAGAGAGCTCCGTATTGTTCGTGGGAGGATCGATTCATCTGCGTTGATCTCGGAGTGAATCTGTTGAGCGATACCGGGGAAACATCCTACGACCCTCAAGAAAGGAGAACAAAGATCGTAATTTTGAAGGGGAATAACTCCAAAAGATCCAATCTTTCTATCTTTGAGGGCTGCCAGCGCTCTTGTATCGCCTGTCCCTCCTATTCATGCACTGTTAGTCTCGCCAGACGTGGAAGGGGATGCAGGATAACTGAGAAGTGGTTAAAGATCTCTTTTTTTCTATCTTTAGAGCGTTTGTAGCCGTCTGAAATCTGCTGTGACTCCTATTCTTGCTTGCCTTCGCCATTTCTTTGGGGAAGCAATCACTTTACATTGGTGTCCTGGGACGCTCCTTGGTTGCTATGCTTCTTGCCGGCAAGCTGTAGGCCGTGATGGGTTGCGTGGCGTCGAAGGCCCCTGTTACGCCTGCATTAGACTCGTCGGGCGCCTCCGCGGACCTTGAGAACTCAGAGGAGTTTTTGCCGCCGTCGTTGCTGTGGAACCGCCCTCAGCTTTGCAACTATGAGTTCGGGGACCAAAGCGAGTCAGAAGAGTCCAAGAAGAAGAGCTCGGCCGGCACCAGCTCGGTGAGCTTTCAGTTGCGGAATCTGAACTGGTGCACTGAAGGGGAGCAGGTCGCGGCAGGTTGGCCCACATGGCTGAGCGCTGTCGCCGGGGAAGCCATTCAGGGATGGGTGCCCCTCAAAGCTGACTCCTTCGAGAAATTAGAGAAGGTAATGCAGTTAGAGAAGCTGTCAATAGCTTTGTCTTTGCTTTGTTTTTCTCTTGAGGAATGTTGCTATCTTTTAGATTCAACCAAATCGAAATAATGACCAAAAATCAGAAATAAAATCAAAGATCAAAACTAAAACATTTCGAAATCGTTGTATATATGTGTCACTTTGCTATTTTTATTTGAAGAAAAAAAATGTTCATTTTAATTGATCTGTTTTTGTTGCTATTTCTGCAAAAAATGGCATCTTAAGATGGACTATTGATGTCTTTGTTTCCTATAGTTCTTTCAAGCTTTAGGATCATGCATGGTCTTACTTTTCATCCTCTAATTTGATGGTCTGATTAGATATGAGTGCAAAAAAGGCTTGAGTAATGAGAAAACTAATTGATGCATGTTGTGGGATGTACCAGATGTGTATATTCGCGAATATTATCCTCTAATTTATGAAAGTTAATCAGTCCAAATATGACAAGATGTTCTACCAAGTGGCTTATTAGCTTGGGCTGTGCCCTTTTGTGATTGAGCTTCATGATCATTTCTTTAATGGTCTATCAAATATGTCTGCTGCTGAAGAACTACATTTGTTGCTCTTCTGCATGAACACTATTTCTTTTCTGTTTCTTTGTTTGTCTGTTATCTGACATTATCTTTCTCCAATTCAAATAGATCGGGCAAGGTACTTATAGCAGCGTGTTTAGAGCACGCGAGACCGATACAGGAAGGATTGTTGCCCTAAAGAAGGTGCGCTTTGACAATTTTGAGCCTGAGAGTGTGAGATTCATGGCAAGAGAGATACAGATTCTCCGCAAGCTTGATCATCCAAACATCATAAAGCTGGAGGGCATTATTACTTCTCGGCTATCGTGCAGTATATACCTTGTTTTTGAATATATGGAGCATGATCTTGCAGGGTTATCATCTTGCCCAGATATCAAATTCAGTGAACCACAGGTTATTCACCTTCCTTGCAACGTTTTCAGCTCGTAAGTGTAGAACTTGACCATGTGCATATGTTTCAGATCAAATGTTACATGCACCAATTACTATCTGGACTTGATCAATGTCATTCACGCGGCATCATACATCGGGACATCAAATGTGCAAACCTTCTAGTTAACAATGAAGGAATTCTGAAGATGGCTGATTTTGGTTTGGCAAACATCTTGAATCCCGAGGAAAAGCAGCCACTCACTAGCCGAGTTGTGACGTTATGGTATCGTCCGCCAGAGCTTCTTCTAGGATCAACAGACTATGATGCATCTGTAGATTTGTGGAGTGTTGGATGTGTATTTGCAGAACTCTTTCTTGGGAGGCCTATCTTGCCAGGGAGAACTGAGGTAATCATCTTAGTCCTGCTTTATTCATATTTGTCATTAGAAGTCTATAAGCTGATGAACTGATAACCGCAAAAGACGGTATATGAAATGAACCATGCCATTCTACTATGGAGGTAAGGCAAGAAAAAGGATAAGAGAGTGCCTAAGCATGACTTGTTTTCCCAATTTCAAGTTACAAGTAGTTAGCAAAGCCATTTAGAATTCCATCATCCTTTAGTAACTATAGAATATAAGATCTGGATTCGCTTGGACTTCTAATTATATTTGATTTATATTCAGGTTGAACAAATTCATAAGATCTTTAAGCTCTGTGGTTCTCCACCAGAAGTATATTGGAAGCAATCCAGGATGCCGCATGCAACAGTTTTTAAGCCTCAACATCCTTATGAGAATTGCCTCCAGGAGACATTTGACACTTTACCAGAAAGCGCATTCGAATTGTTAGAAACATTTTTGTCGATCGAGCCTAAGAAACGTGGCACAGCCTCTGCTGCTCTTGCTTCTAAGGTAACTCTTGTACAAAATTTGGTCTCTGCTTTGTTAAAAAGTATTATCTCATTATTATTCATTCTGTTGATGACATTTCTATCTGTTGAGTGATGCTTCACATTGTGACTATTAGTAGGCTTGCTGTGAATTCTCCTACATGACTCCTTCTCCATACCCACTTCAGTTCTTTTCTAAAAGATTTCTGCCTCAAAACATATCAGGTTTTGCAATCTAATTGCTTTCCTCATGCTTGTTCAGTACTTCAGGACAAAGCCTTACGCGTGTGATCCATCTAGCTTTCCCAAGTATCAACCTAACAAAGAAATCGATGCAAAGTTTCGTGAGGAGTCACGCAGGTGAGCTGAAAACTTTACCTACGAAGAATACATGGTCCCACATTCAAGAAATTTTGGCCATTTAGTCTTGCGAACTTTATCTTTGCACTTTCTATGTGACTTTTGATCAACTTGGCAGATTCAAGTAACATCAAATAGTGACATCTCAATTTTGAACCTTAGAAACAATTTTGGTGATATGAATCCTGCAAAAAAAATAAAAATCTACTCTTCAGATCTTCTGACATAATCTGTAGAATGATCTGATTCTTTATTTAATATGTGCAACCTTTATCATTTTTACACAAAAGCAAATCACAACTTGTTGATCTTTCAATCATTTTACTGTATTGTTTCAGGAGGAGTGTCAGTAGCAGATTAAATGTAGAAGCAACAGGAAGACCTTCAAGACCATACAAGCCTTCACAAGAATCAAATGGCCTTGCAAACACAGCATCTCGCAGAGAGGTCTCTCTCTCTCTCTCTCTCTCTCTGTCCATATATCTATATCTACCTACCTATCTATCTCATTCTTTCCATCTCTTTCTATGTGTGTTCCCAATGTGTCCATGCTTGTAATTAATAGATTGAGAATTTTAAGATGGTCAGGCTTCAAACTTCCCAAATATAAGCAGTGAAAAATTCTATTACTGTAGTGTTTTATTGGCATGATTGCAATACTAAAAATCTTTGTCTCTGCCAGGGGTTGAAAATTGCTCAAGGATCTAATAGAAGCAATGTAAAACAAGAGATTCCAAGAGTAAACAATGGTACAAGGCTAATCATTGATCAGCAGCCAATGCCAAATATTAGATACCAAGATGAGCATCGACATGTCAAGCAAAACTATCAAAGAGTGCCTTTCTCAGGTCCTTTGCATCTCTCTGCTTCTACCAGCTTTGCAGGTCCAAAGAAACCAAATGAATTACATTCACACATCAAGCCTCAGGCTAGATCCAGATCCAGACATGACAAATCGGGAAGGTTGGGTCCATCAAATGTTTCAGAGATAACAAGAACTTTCAAAGTGAATGGAGAAGAAAATAGAGATCTTGGACATGCTTCCTCTTCCAATTCAAAAGGCTACAAGCCAAAAGACGCATTTCAAATCCCACGGAGACATCCGGAGCTTCAGGACTCAACATATTCTTTCAATGCCTACCGTTCTCGTGATGCAGTTTCATCTAAGAATAGGAGCTTGGTACTGATTCAGCTACTCCGAAACATTTACTTTCTTCTACACCACTGGCCTAGCTGGTCATTTACTGATTGTCTTGAAAATTTTCAGGGTTATATATATCAAGGAGAAAAGGTGGAGTTCTCCGGGCCTCTACTGCTCCAATCGAAAAAGGTTGATGAATTCCTGGAGAAGCATGAACGGCACATCCGCAAAGCTATTCGGAAATCATGGTTTCAGAGAGGTAAAAGTCACACATCTTGAACTCATTATTCTGATACCTGATCAAAGTATCCTATTTTACCACAGATTCAAAGATCAGTCACAACAAATTGGAATGCATCTCCATCTCTCTTTTTTATTTGCTCCACCTTAGATCTCAGTTTCAGCTGATGTCCACCTAAATGTTGTATTTGCAACAGGGAAAAAAGCAGGGACTGTAGAGATCCATGGAGGTTAGACAAATACATACAACTTGGAGATGCAACAGTCTCAAAATCCAACACAGTGAGACTGCAGGGCTGTTCTTCTTCCGGTTGAGAAACCGAATGAGCACTGTGGAGATCGGCTTGTGGGGATTAAAACTGTAGGTTTCATTGTAAATGTGGATGTTTTTTTTTTTGGTGCTGTAAAAGCCTGAATGAATGCAGGTTCCAGAGTTTGTAGACAAAGTTGATAGTGTTTTTGTGCTCTCTTCCTCTATTACTTTTGTGGCAATGAATGCTGAGGAATTCATAATATTATATATATATATATATATATATATATGATAGATTGGTCCATTTTTTCACAAAAGAGAAGATCTAATTGAATCAGCATATTAAGCCAACTAATTAACACATTTATTTTTTAGTAAAAAATAAGATTAATTATAGATTATCTTCTGTAATTAGTTATTTTTAGTATTCTAGTCTCTATAGTTTAAAAAATTACATTGGGATCCTTATACTTATGAAAATGAAATATTTAATCTTATTTCTCTTTTTGAAGGGATTTGAGATGATTCTTATCTATTAGGATAGAGGGATAGAGGCATGTAGAGATTAATTCTACATTCTATCTTGAGTATTATGTTCAGTGTTATGTTCATCACAGGTTAATCCGTTCCGTTCCATCTAAAAGATTAATCCGTTCTATCTTGCTTCCTCTGGTAATTCCTGAACCAAATATTCACTGTTTCTGAATGTGAAATTACTGGTTTCTATATGTAACCAGAGACTTAGAACGCACCAACAAAATTAAATGTTTGCTGCTGCATTTAAGGCTATTTGAGTGTCCTGAAGACGAGGAGATAATGTTCAGTGTTATGTTCATCACAGTCTTCATTCAATCTCATACTTTGCTTCTAATGTTTAGTTTCACCCTGAGATGCTGTAGATTTCAAGAATGACCAATGCATGTGTTACATAGATATGAAGAAAAAAAATCACATTTTTGATTGTGTTGAAGGTAGATTACTCATTAATCATGATCAACATCCTCTAAGAAAAGAAGTTGGCTCCTTATTTGTACACAATGTATGCAGATTTAAGAACTCCAAATGTTTGTAATCAGAAGAATTGATGGCTATGCTGAAACCTAAGACAGTCATCTATTTTATGGTAATACAAATTTGGCTTACTCAAATTGTCATTATGGTAAGAACTATTATAGGCTGAAGTTGTCTTCCAACCATTTGACAGATCATATTGGAGGGAGGTCAAGAGAACTCCAGAAGAACAATTCACCTTCACTGCCAGAACTCAAAGCTGAAGAAGGTGGTGGTGATTGGGATGATGATGTTGATGAGGAAGAGCAAATGGTGGTGATGTAGGAGGAAGAATAACTTGAAGAAGAGTTTTCTGCCTCTACCTCGACTCCTTCACCTTCCACCAACTGCATCTCATATCCTTGCTGCTGTTCTCTGCAGGCACTTGTGAGAGCAGAGAGATGATCCTCCATTCTTCCTCCCCTTCTTTCCCCGAGCTGTAGCTTCAAGTACTCAGATATTCCATTGAGAGCATACAGAGATGCTGAGATCTTCCTCTCATACTTCATCCTCTTCACTGCAGCTCTAATCATCGACGGCTCATCAACACAGCTCTCTTGTTCTATGGGCTCCTCGATCTCACCCATGATCTCAAATGGTGAATAGAAGCACGATGATTCCTGCACCTCATCCATGAAACCAAAGTCCATGACGCCCACGTCAAGACTCTCCTCATCTTCTCCACAGCCACCAAATTCAACAGCTCCCCCCAGTTCATAGTCCGAAGTGAAATCCACATGATCGCCGTCTTTATAGGTGTAACTCTCTTGGATACTGTCATGCATATAGTCAGCACCACCTAAATCTGCATGAGAAAGATGAAGCATGGAATTCGATGGATCGTTTAAGAAGTCTGCGAAATGGATGTCGTCCCCCTCCTCTGCGCCATCTTCATATTGTGGCCGATGTGCTTCTTCTCCTGGTTGTTGTAGCTGTGGCTGCTGCTGCTGCTGCTGCATCTCGACCAAGGCAGAGTGGTTTCTGGCCTTGAGTCTCATCAGGAGGAGGTTGGTGATCTTGGAAGGCAACACTGATGGTTTCGAGGGCTGCAAAGAGGAGCAAGGCCAGAAGTTGGTGCGAGTATTGGCACCACGGAGAAGGCAGGCGGCCTCATCGTAGGCCCTGGCAGCTTCTTCAGCTGTATCAAACGTGCCAAGCCACATTCTAATCTTCTGTATGGTGTCTTTGATCTCTGCCACCCACCGACCTGATGGTCTTTGCCGTACACCGACGAAGCGCTTTCGGGCACGCCGGACATCTCCGAGTGCCTCCATAGCCGTCGCCTCGTCCCACCTCGTGGCACCACCATCTGGGTCCTCCTTCCCATCTACTCCATCGGTACACCTCCTCTTCCTTGCCATCTCCTCAGTCTGGCTCTGCTACAAAATTCACTGCTGTTTCTACTTCTATTGCCTGCTGTTGGACTTGTTACTGCACTTGGCAAGGATGGGATGAGGTGCAGAATATATAATGGTTAAGAGAGATGTCAGACAAGTGAGAGGAGGAGGAATATGATGACATTGTTGCTTGGTGCCATCTGATTGTTCTTTATGATTCTGGCTTCATCATCCTGCCATTTGGTCTTTGCTGTTGAGATCGAATTTGCCCTTGACTTGGTCCTTGGCACAATCATAATGATGCTTTCCTCTCATCAAATTTGTTTGCACATCAAGTTTCTCAGTAGAATATGCTGAATTGTAGGATTGAATTGGTCTTCTGCTGATCAACTTGCCATTCTTTAATCTTGTAGGTTTGGAGACCTTGTCCTCGCTGTCTCATCTCCTCCTGGAATCTTTGGACACAGTTCGCGATCGCCAAGTGGCCGCCGAAGCTTAAAGGCAGAAATATGACTCTATCAACTCAAGAACACTAGCAGTCTTGTTGAGAACATGTCAACAGATAATTGTATCCGATGAACAGCTGATTTGGATCCATGGTACTTGGGTGATCGATGGTACTACGATCATCGACACCACTGGATACAAACTTCCATGGGTTCCTCCGTTTAGGAATTCACACTTGTTTGTTGTTTGCAGGCATTGTTTAGTACCTTCAGATGGCTAAAACAAGGATGATGAGACAACAACTACGGTATTTGTCTGTGCCGTGAGAGGTTTTTCTTGGCACAGCCATCTCGAGAAGTTAGCCGTGGATTGAATCAGATGGAAAGGGACAAAAGGAGCTTTTTGTTGTCATCAATGATGAATGGTATCCAATGACGGTGTCTTCCAAGCTATATCACTATCAGCATAATTTTCTATGCAATTGCGACCACTTTTCTTAGTGATGAGCCTCCAAACTAGACGAACTCCATTTTCTGGTCTCTTTCCCTAGTTTGATTCCAGCTCTCAGTTTACTAGCGGTATGGATGTGCTGATTTCTATCTACCATTAATGTTTGTGAGATTGTATTTGTATTCGATGGATGAGAGCTGTAATTGTATATGTAAATGACACCAATCCATTTCTTGTTTTAGGAAATCATCACAGCTGTAGAAATGTGATGGAATGGGTGAAATATCTCTAATTCTTGTTCCTTGACCCAATCATTTCTATGATCAGACCATGAACAAGTGCTGAAGACATGGATGTTTCAGTAGAAAAAAGACAGAGTAGAACAAGTGCTGACAACATCTGACTATTGCTGGTTTTTCTCTGAGAATAAAGAGTAATGGATTATGTAAACATTACTGCAATGTTGTATGAGACTTCAAGTGAGAATAAGAAAGTAAAAAAAGGGAAAAATAAAAAATAAAAGGGGCTTCAGATGAAGACAACATCTAACTTTTGGTGGGGTTTCCAAGGACAAAGATTAATGAATAATATATTGCAAAAATATATGAGAATTCAAGTAGGCATCTGCTTTTGCTGGTTTCTGTAAGAACACAATATTATTCTGTATGCATCATAAACTAAATTAGAAAATTGGCTTCAGATGCAGACATCTTAACTTCTATAAGTTCTTCTAAGAATAAAGATTAATGACTGCTACAATACTATATAATTGGAATCACATTTCAAGCATCAGAAAGCAAAGAGAAAACATGGCTGCAGAGGTTTTTGCTGGATTTTCTAAGAATTAAGATTAGTGAATACTATGAAAAATGATGCAAAATTTGTAAGAGACTTCAAGAAACCATCATAAATTAAATTGGAAAAATGGCTTCCAGATGCAGACATCTTAACTTCAAAGATGAATGAATACTTCAAATCAGAAGGCAAACACAAAACAGTGGCTTCAGATGAAGACAACATCTCACTTTTGCTGCTTCAATGAATACTCTGAATAATGCTGTATAATTTGTATCAGACTTCAAGTAAGCATCATAAAATAAATGAAGTAGAAAAAAAATGGATTCACAAGCAGACAAACCAAACCTTTTCTGGCTTTTCTTCTCCTCGGGAAGAATCATAGAGAACAGGTCAAGTGTGAAGTCACAGAAGAGAGGAAGACTTGGTGTGAGTCCACAAAACAAAGATCAATGAATACTTCCTAAGAGATGACTTCATCCACTAAAAGGTTAGATCAAGAAAAACCTATGCACCAAAACACAAGTTTGGGTATTGTGTATAATATTTTAATGCTGCTGATGAGTTCAACAAGAAATAGTAGTGATCAGTAAACATCTCCAAGTGGCTGCTGCTGAGGATGTGGGAGACACTAATAAGCAACAGCTTGAAAGCAGTATGCTTTCTTGCTGCCAGATGGAGGGTGGCTTTAGATGCCTTTGTTTTGTAGATTGCTGCAGCATGTGATATCAGAGAGGAAAAATTGCTTTGATATCAAAATATCAATCAACTTAAGTTACATGGTTTAATGTATGTAAGATTTACATGATTTTACATCCTTTATCTATAAAGAAACTTAAATTTTCACTATGAGAAAATAAGTAATCTATGAGAAAGAAAACTCTTTATTGAGTTAATCCAAAGCCTATTTGTAGTAACAATCTTTTTAGATCTTATATCCTTAGTATCAAATCTAAACAAATAAATATTTATTAGATAATCAATCCTTGTTTTTCAAACAAAAGTATTTTTGATGTTTTAAATTTATTTTGCAGGTAGATATACTTTTTTTCTCAAACCTTTGACTAAAGAAAATAATAAAAATAATTTTTTTTTTCCATAAGTGATAAATCAGAATTTGATTATCTGATAAAAAGATTCAGATCCAACTGGGAAATATTTTTGTACTCCTCAGGTGTTTGGTAAATGATGGATTTGATATATAATTATATATAAACTATTTTGGAGCCTTTCCTTACAAAAGTCCTTCTAATTTAATAAAATTTAAAACTAAAAGAATACATAATGATCAAAAAGCAAAAAAGAATATCAAAAAATCAATACAAAATTTAACATGATTTGACAAATCCTGAGTATATTTATGAAAAAATTTAGATTCTTCGATATATAAGATCAATTATAAAACATTTAAGTTTTCCTACTCAAATATAACTCTCCTTATGTATCTCTTATATAAACACAAAGAACTAGTAAACCTCTTTATAAATATTAGAGAGACTTCAGAGTAAATGTGTTAACTTTCTCTCTCCAAAATCTTAAGACTTAAAAATATATTTTATAAAAATTATTTTTAATTTATTAAAAATTATAATTTAGTTAGAAATCTATCAATAAATTTAAATATCATTAGAATTTTTAAAAATACTTATCAATCCTTTTTTTTATATTGTATCGGAGATATTATTGAGTTAAGATAGAAGTTAATATTATGATTCATAAGGCAAGTGATCTAATTATTCTTAGATTGTGAGATCATGTGATATATTATATTATATATATATATATATATATATATATATATATATATATATATATATATATATATATATATTGGATGTTTGAAAAAGAAATCAAAGA